TCAAGAGACTGATGGAGGGCTTTAATCCTGCCAGTGTCATGAAGATGGATCACACACACACACACACACACACACACACACACACACACACACACACACACACACACACACACACATTCAATTCATATGGAAGTTTGCATCTATAGGGACATGACAGCAAAGCAGTCTTTTACAAATTCTGCATGCGTGTGCGTACTCGAGCTTTCTCTTATTCTCTCTCTTCTCTCAGTTTCTCTCTGTTTTGCACAAACACACACTCTTAAACACACACATGGAGCTAGACTGACAGAAACAGGTTGTCAGCAGGGTGAGGGGTGATGTGACTCATGTCCAGCTCATTTATCTGCAATGTGTGGTGCCTATGACTTCAGTCCACCGACTCATAGGCTTCTCAAAAACTCACCCCTTCACTTAAATAAACACAACGTTACAAGAAATGTTCACATGCATTACTAAATCGAATGTGTAAAACATTTTTCAACATAAACAAAACTTCAGTTTCTTAAAGGATAAGGCCGGTGATGGTATAGTCTCCTATTGGAGACAAATCCATTGAAAAGTCCCAAACAAATGACGGTTTGTTTGATGGAGTCAGTCTTTAAAAGCTGGACACACGTACTTTCTCCATTCTGCATAACCCCCTAAAATTTCTGGACACCCAGTTTAGCAGTGTTGCTCACTACTGTGATAGTAAAGAGGATTGGATTCAGTTTCAATAAATGTAAAAATCAGCTGATTTTCCATTTTTGTGTTGTTCGAATATTAGTTGACAATTGTATGTTTGTGGACAAATAGAACATAAACTGCATGGAATTTAGAATTGCAAAATGTAACAGTAAAATCAATTCGTTCCAATAAAATCAAGAGTAGCTGTAAACTAAGTTACGTAGTGAAATTTTAGAAAAGAGACACTGGCTCTTGGGCTCTGTCTTGCACTCTCACACTGCCTCTATGTTTCTACAGGAAATAATACAAAGATTCCATTAATTTTTTCTGCAACGAAAAGTTAATTTCATCCATTCCAGCTCTAAATCTGACCCAAAAACACTGCTGAGAGGACAGAACAAAGTTTGCTTTGCTTTAAAGGCCGGAGATGTGGATACATGCAGACTAGAAACACGGGGCATTTTCCAATCTAGAAGACAACAGCAAAGATTTCAGATGTGTTTTCACTAGGGGAAATACTCTGTTTGGGTCACATGTGTGGCGATGGAGGAATGGGTGCTTGGATTGAGTAAGCAAGCTGTAAATTCCCCGGATGATTACCTGCTCTATTAACACACGAGCTCAATAGGACATTAGAAGGATGTTGCACTGGGGAGATGGTGAGGTAAAACCTAGCTGAAATTTCACAAAGATGTCCATGTAGTAGTAGATTGGGCTACAGTATGTGAGGCGTGGGAATTTTAGCAGTTCTCTTCTGAGCTCTATCACAGCTACTGGGACATTTTTATATCCTATCAAGTCTATCTTTAGGGTAAGTTCTGTTTTCCTTTTTCCTTTTCCTTTGTGTGTTTGATATACTGACATAGACCTTTATAACCCCTAAAGTTAGTGACAAGATATGGCAGATCAGATGTAGAACAACCCTGAAAATAAATTTATTCTATCACAAATTATTGCACAAATCTAGTATGCATGGGCAAGAATGTCATGTATGTATTTATTACATTCAAGATGAATGGCATTAATTTTCTGAATGAATTCTAGTACCATATTTTTTGGACCATAAGGTGCACTGTCGATGAACAAGTCTGTTTTCATTCATAAGGTGCACCGGATTATAATGGGTGCATTAAGCGAAACAAAACAGTCAGATTAGTCAAATTTGACTCAACTTATTCTTCTTGCTTCATCCTCTACTGTACCATTGATTCATTAATGTTGAATTCTCTCGCAGCTGCTCTATTTCCATGTTGTTTCAGTATATTAATGACTAACCTCGTATTGTGGATGGATTATCTCAGTTCTCCTGACTGAAGTTTGGTCCGTTTACAACATCCTGCCATGCGATATCATTTGTCCCTAACCATCCTGAACCCGTTAACTTTTATCGAGTGGAAAAAAGTTAGCATTCATCCTCCAGCTTCACTGTGTTTATGTTATGCTAACATAACTGTGTCCCTAGCGATCGCGCAGCACATCATTATATACCAGCTAGGCCAACTTCAGTAACCCTGCAAACGCCACTGCTGTTTAGTTTTCAGAAATCTCTCAGTCAGAGCATGCTATATCATGTTTAGGTGGAAACTAGCAAGCTAACTTCCTGCTTACTTCCTGCTAACTTCAGACTCTGTTAAATTTAATAAATTCTGTTTTCATGGATGCCTGGATGTTAAACTTAATTGTTACACCTGGTAAAGCAGCAACGCTGATAATTTTATTAAAGATGAAAGAATTTAGACAGTTTTTAAGTCTCAGTGATGCCGCAGTGGTTGTTCGACTTTGGGACCTGAAATTGACAGGGTCTTGGACCCAGATTACTCCGCGAGGCTCCTAACTACGGCAGCCGTAATGCTCCAACAATATGTTAAGCGGTGCGGCTCCGTAGCTTACCAAAGTCATACTAAAACATTTTTGACAGATTTTTGAGCGCCGTGTACCACATAAAATTGGTTCAAGTTCAGTAAGCACAAGCAGAATTCATACATAAGGGGCACTGGATTATAAGGCAATTTTTGAGAAACTTAAAGGATTTTGCGCCTTATATTGCGGAAAACACGGTAATAGCTATTTATCCATACATTAATTTAGAGGTTTTGTGCAGTTTTAGAAAAGCATGTGTGTGATTTACGAAAGCTGCAGTATTTTCTAAAAACAGGTGTAGTGACTTCATTTGAATATCAAGTACAAAATATAGGATGGGTTGGTTTTTTCTAATATCAGTACAATTAGCAGTGAAGTGCATTTTTAAATCAGTGTGCTTGAGTTTAAATATTCTCCTCTCTATATTTTGCACCTTACGAAAAGAACTCCCAGAAATACATGTGCAACTGGGTAAAGTGCAAAAATCTCTGAGTTCCCACCTCTTACATTGGTTTGGTGACTGCGCTGTCTTTGTAAAAACAGACAGTTTTTTTCTTTGCCAAAACCAAAAGCACAATATGTCAATAAATCTGGCCCTAAATCTCTTTTCTTACTAAGCAGGTCTGTTCATATACCAATTCAAATTGTATTTGTCAATAGAACAAAGCTATAACTCTTTTGGATCCACATATTCATAAGCAGATATCTGCTAATGTTTACTTGCTTGACTTTACTTCATATGGCTTTGTAGGCAAATTAATTTTATGCTGACCATTTCTATATCCTTTAATGTCAAACACGTAGCTTCTCACATTCACCGAAACACATAAAAATACCCTGCGTGTCTTCTTCTTGAAACACACGCACATGTGCGCTCTCTTAATGACGTAAATTTTCACATTGCACACACACACACTCACAGACACACTAATTTATACTGACACACAGATGGCCTCTTCTTTGACCACAAATGTAGAGTAACTCCTGCTCCCTGCGGTGTGGCCAAGGCTCAGACTGCCAGTAAAAGCGAGGGATGCTTCATGGCTCAACAATTTGCTGGCTAAATGGAAAGGGTTTGGTGTGTGACCTCAAACACTCTCCTTTCTTCCTCTCCTTCTCCGTCTCACTTACTCGCTTCTCTTTTGTCCACTCCTGGTTTTGTTGCCCATTTCCTAATCTGATTTAATGTCATTCCAACCTTTTATTTGTTGCTATGACGTTTTACTTATTATTTTTGTTTTGCGGCAACTGAATGAAATGTTCTCAAAAGCAGGTCAAATTATTTTCTAGTATTTAGAAAATGAAAGAGGGCATTTTCAACTCCTGTTTTTTCTTCACGGCTTCAAATCAGTTCTCCTTTAGCGTGCCTTGTGTCTTTATTAACATGTTTATTTTCTCACTTCTTTTCCCACAGCTTCCAGCTCTGTTTTATTTTCAAGGTGCGATATGAGAGGTCAAGACCAGAGTAAGGACGCGTGAGGAAGGCAAGCAGCTCAGCTCGCAAATATGAGCAGTATGAAGAAAAACTGCATTTAAGTAAAGTGCGGTTCAGCGGGTTTATTGGGTAACAGATACGCTGAAATTGAATCCAAAATTTGGTTTAGCCAAAAAGGTTTCAATGGTATTAGAGACATTACTTCATGGGGAAGTGGCTTCTATCATGTGTAGCATGCAGAGATTAGAAATCAGCGATCAGAAAATTGAATAATTGCATCCTTGCTTCATCCAAATGTGGTTAATCTACATTTGATTGGTGTCGCAAACAATTGCTGCTGACGCTGCTTGACATCTCAGAGAGATTTAGTAAGAGATGCAGGATCACAAAATTAAAATGAACTGACAAAGACCCCCCTCTCCCCTCCCAGTCACAGTGTTTGCTTAGGGGAAATATTAGATTGTATGTGTAAAATACGACGGTGAAATTTCATACTGTGTTTCAATAACGTGAGAAAACCTCGGGAGGTGTGAGCGCTTGAATAGTCAATATCAAATCCAGTTGTCCTTTCACCTCAAAGTTAAATAAGTCCAGCCAGGTGGATTTAGGTGTGTTGCAGTAATGTGCACACACACTTACACAGCCATAAAAACAGCACGAGGAAAAAAAGGAAAGACTTTTCAGATTGGAGAGAACAGGCAAGGATCAGGGGTGCAGAGGGAAAGGGTTACGGTTAACTTTCCTCTAAAGGGTGTCAAAAAAGGAACTAAATTGGGTGTCAGAAAGCACTAAGGAGTTGAAATAAGTCAGGGTCCCCCAGCTCCCATGTGGGTGGGTGCTTGCTTTATACTTTTCAGACAATGTCCCTTTAAAAGCACCACGTCTGGAAAGCCCATTAGATGTGCATATAAAATTTCCCCTGTGATTAATAGTTTGATGAGGCAGGGTTGGTTGGAGGGTACTACCAACATGTGGCCGGCAGGGCTCCTCCTCTGCAGTCTCACGTTACACTCCATAAACTTGCCACTCTTTCCCACCTATATGTTTAAAAAGGAGGAGGGCTCACTTGTCAAGAATGCCTTAGAAGAGTTGTGAAAACAGCCAGCCCGAGAACGGGAGTTATACAGTTGTGGATGCCGCTTTCCCGAAGAGCAGCAACTTGGTTAGATCTGGGAAGGAGAGAGGGTGTGTGTGAGAGCGACGCAGAAGGGAAAGTGTGTGAGAGTGTGTCAGGACCAGAGGCTCCAAAGGACGTCACGCACGCTCCCAGAGAGAGAGGGAAACGTGCTGTCACAGGAAGGTGTCTATCCTCACGTGCACTGGGCTGTGGAAGCGTCAACAGCCTCTGACAGAAGTGAGTAGATGCAGTGAGACGATGGTGTTCATTTAGTCAGCTGAAGTGGATATTACTCAAAAGTGACAAAGATATCGATTTCTAGTCCTAACTTACTTTCTGAGAGAGGTTGAAATTCCTCGACAGGAAAAAGACTGTACTCGTGTGAAGGGTTTTTGCATCACGATGGATCAGCCGGCCAGCAGCTGCATGCGGAGCGCCCATCCCAGCACCCCCATCTGGGGCTGCATGAGGAACCCTCACTCTGGGGTCCCAGGGGTGAATCTGCAGTCGCCCTACCAGCAGGCCCCGTTCTCCCTCCACCAGAAGCCTGAGTTCCTGGCCTACACAGATTTCTCCACCTCCTGCCTGGTGTCGAGCACGCCGCACGCAGCCTACCCTCGCGATGACAGACTGTACCAAGAGAGCCAAGGGGGTTACCAAAGAGCTGACTGGCAGTTCAACCAATGTGAGACTCGTGTGAGAGCACCTGAGGCCTGCCCGCCTGTTGCCCCTGCAGTAATAGGTGGCGGCGGCGGCAGTGGGGCTGGAGGGCCTGAGCTGGACAGTGTAGGGGGGGACAGGCTTCCAGGCACTGTGCCCGGGTGTATGGAGGGAGAATACTCACCCCAGAGCGTGGCGTCGGCCGATTCGGACAAGAAGAGCTCCAATAAGAGGAAAAGAGATGTCACAGGTAAGCCAGCGAGCTGGGATCAAGGGATGCCACCTGGTGTGTGTTGGTTTAAAAGTATAGGAGAACAGAAAAAACAGTGATCCCTACAGGCATTTGAAAGCAAATAGCCAAATTTAGGAGTGGTAAAAAAAAAAAAGTAGACATATTGTTTTTGTGTTTAGGGTCTCTGATAAATTTTAGACTAAAAAAAAAAAAAACACTTCCACAATTGTTTTCCTTTAGTTTTTATGCCAAACTACTGCACAGGTGTAAAAACAGATCAACTAAAAACAATATTTACGTCATTCTTACCTCACTGAAAATCAAGAAAATACGCATCAAGGTCAAGAATTCCTCCCGCGCCCTGTATCACAGCTGGCAATGACACAAATTCTCTGCATTTCCTCACCAAATCAGCCTTAAAGCAGCACACTCACACGATCGCTATGTAAAAGGTGAGTAGGTGACGAGACTTTTGTGTTCAAGACACACTTTAAGTAGCAGTTGCATCCTCTTATTGTTCCAGCGCTTTCAAAAGGATGATTCATGAGGCATTTGAACTTTTCATTTTGCTGCTGTATCCGTTGGAAAAAGACCTTTGATTTATTATAGCAGGGCGACATTAAAAATTATGATAAAAAACGAAGTTGGTGTGAAGAGGAAAGCGTTTAAAGGCCTTTTGGGGATTTTGCGCTGTATTTTTCTCCTGAACACAATCCTGTTGCGTATTGATTGCTGCTATGAATTTTTCAAGTGGATAAAAGGGTTGAAAAAAACTGTATTTGGTGATATTTCAATGTATTTAATTTAATTTTATACAATTTTTCTTTCCAGATATTTCCTAAAAAAAATTCCCACAAAAAATGACTTAATATATTTTTATTCTCAAACATCAATAAGAAGTAATCCCCTTAGATAATTTCGCCTATCATATTTCACACTTGCTAATAGGACACAAAAGTAACAGACGACAGACCAATTCTAAAAGTTTCAGCCGAAACATTAGCAACAGAACAACAGGCCAAAGGAAACATTTAATTTTAAAGTGAATCTAAATGTGTGAAGGTTTTATTATGGGGACTGTCACCCTAGCAAAATAAAAACACATCCAGCACATATGGAGCGTTCATATTTCATTTGTAGACGTTTTTGGTAAATTTAGCCTGTAATAAACACAGTGATTTATGCGTCTTACAGGAAAGAAAAATGAGCATCCATACTTTGGAAAAAATGTAACTTTTTACACATTTTAATATATATTTAAATGAAATTTTGTTATTAGAGCTCAAGCAAGTGTGGCGTAATTGTTATTCATATAGCCAACACTCCACTTGCCAGGCAAATATCAAAGAAATTAAAACAAAAGTTAAAAAAGGGGAACCCAAAACAGAATTAAAACACCAAGACAAATACAAAAATAACGCTTAAATAAGAGCGATGAGTGTCCAGAAATGTTAATATTGAATTCAAACCACATAGAGAAGTACACTAGTGCATGTTGCTAAAGATGGTGTCATCTAAAGTGTCCAGTATTTAACCCTGACCTGTCCAAACATAACAGACCATGTCTGATTGTAAAGCGTGCAAATTTGGAAATACTACATGACCAATGCATGCAACAGACATGAGTCTAATTGAAAAAGAAGAGGTGAGGGAGCACCCCACACACCAGCCCACTCCACCCACCCTCCTTTTTTTTTTTTACCTTATTGTAACCTCCACTCTCTATGCTGAAAACATGCCAGACCACGTCTGGTAAAATCACTTTCCTGTGAGCCCACTTCTTACATTCTTATCCATTGACATTTTCCTGTCGTTAAGCCGTAACATAATCTCCCACTGAGTGCATGCAACATGTCTGACCACTGCATCAGTTCTGGGTTTTAGAAAAGAACCATTCACTTTTTCGAATCAACTAGCTGGTAGGAGAGCATATATTAGGAAAATGTCCTGAAGGCATTCACATTACATGCACATACATAGCAGCTGCTATACGGTCTGCTTCTGTGTATTTGTTCTGATATGGAAATGTGGTGCACTCGGGTAAAGTTTCCAAATGTTTAAAACCAAAATGATATGATCTGACATTGACTGCAATCCAAAATTTGACCATCATAACACTGTGATATTTAACAGGGATGCTGTTATAAACATTTGACTGTTGCTGGCCCTAAAATCAATATGGTTTTGATATTAAATTTTAAGGTCTGACATGCATGAAAAGGAGTTCTTCACCATTACAAAATGAGCGTGTTAACACTTAACACAGTAACTGTTAGCAAATATACTTCCTCTAACAGCTCGGATGGTTTTGCTACATGCATTTTGATGCTTTTTCAACAATTTAACTGCTTCTGTGAACCATCCATATACAAACAAGCGATAAATGTATACTATAAAGCACTGCAAAATGATTCTACACATGCAAAAAATGATTTTTCAGGTAGGTGTAAAAATGTTTTTAAAAAAAATTTTTTTTAAAGCTGCTGGTTTTGATAAAATGCAGCATGATCTGCACAAATGTACATCATACCTAGGGGTCCATGACCATAAGCCAAGGGTATAAAATAGAAAAACAGAAAATTGTGCTCAGTTACTGGAAATGTACAACCATAAAATCTTTGGCGTGATAGCAAGATATACTGTTGCCCATTGCATCACAAGCTTATGAAGTATTTTGGTAAAAATATCTTAGAATACAAATAGTTTGCAACTATATGTTTAATCTCTATTAGGATTAGGACGATGAATGAGGTTCTTGGTAAATGTTATTCCTTTAATAAATGCCTAGTAAGTTTGAGCACCATTCTCATAAAGTGCTGTAATAAGAAATTAAACATTTATTAACTGAGAACAGTTTAAAGATGCTATCTAAAGGGGTTAAAATAAACGTTAGCCAATAAACTGTCTTAATACATTGTGAAATTCAGTCTTGAACTTTAGCACACACATTTTTGCGATCAGTAGTTTTCGCCTGGGGTTTTCTGCTTTAAAACAATCACTAATTTACAACAACTTTAATTCAGTCCTGATGAAGACAAACTCCTTTTGCACCATCCACTCAGAAAGGCACCAAATGCTGTTTGCCTTTGGGAGACCCTGCTGTGTGCAGAAGCCCTCTCCCTGCTAGTTTATGGCCTCTGGCTGTGCAGGATATTTATTGGGGGCCTGTTTGGTGAGAGCCAGTATGTGCCCTGCCAGGTGTTCAAAGCAGCTAAACCTGTCTTGGGAAATTTCAAAAGTCGGCACACGTGAGGATGCCCATCGTTATTGATTCTTGAACCACAAAAACAAATCTTTTTTTTTTCCTAACAAACCACATGGCACATCAGGCGTTTGTACACAAAAACTACACGTGTGCACAAACACTGTATGTCCTGGTTTGCCCAGTCACATCTGGCCCAGGTGCTGCAGTCCATTTCACATTCTGGCACACTGCTCTGGCAAGCACAGAGCAGAACTTCTCACTTTGACAAATTAGAACCATTTTCTGGTGATTACATCAGCTGCTGGTGTCTCTACCCCTGCACAATTATTACCGAAACTCATTCCCTTCAATACACAGGAGAGGTTTTACTTAAAGGTAAATCAACCAGCTTTCATATATGTTTATCCTGTTAATGAGGTTTAAAATTTGGCCATTTTTCTAAGCTATGTGAGAAATGCAGGGAAATATATAAATGTATAAACCGCATTATTTCTTGAATAATCTTAGGCTGCGGGTTTTCTGACTGCCACATTCACAGAGATATCTCAAGGCTTTTTTTCTGATGTTTGCTGTCATGTAAAGATGAGTTAATGTGAATCTGCCCCGAGCGCTCCCACGGGGACTGTTCTGACACACACACCCACACCGACGTAGCACTCCGACCTGGACACATCCGCACCTTTGTTCTTTTGTTAGAGGCTTTAACGATGTTCCGCTGCATTCCTCCACTAACTTAGGCCCTCTGTGGCTGGTTTGGTGGCCCCTGCCCTGTGCTGATACGCTCTTACATACATAAATCGCGAAGGAATGTTTAGAGGAAGACATTTGCACTTACAGCATGTGTTCATGAACAGACAAATAAGGGGAAATAAGCAGCAAAAAATAACCCCGGCATGCGCAGGTTGCAGGTGTACGCGACTCGTGAGGCCAGGTCATGGTGGTCTCTTTTAAAAGTGCTGGTTTTAGTGTTTACTATATGAGGGGCCACCCTTTAAAGAGTCTTTGGAGTTATGGTTTGTTGGTTGAAAAGGGTCTTGAGGTCAGTTTAATTGCGAACTAGAGGCCAGTCACAAAATGAGTGGGGAGCTAATTTAAATCAGATTAGCTGTGAATGATAGGAAAATGAAGGGTCTCCAGGTCAAGTAGCACACTTGCATGTGTAGCTGCTTGTGAAGAAAAGGGATGCTGATCATTTTTATTTAGTTTTAAACAAAAATTATGGGATCGTACAGATCATTTATTACCTTCACTGCAAACAGCTTTAAAGCATTGGTTTCCTTGTGTCACCTGACTTTCCCTTTAAGTTGATCCAAACAGACTCATAGAGAAAGCCATCAACACAGCTTCTTAATGTTCAAATATTCTTATCTCAATTCATGTATACCACTGTTCCTTATTGAGCACTTTCAGCTGTTTCTGTATAATTTTCTCTTCAATCTTTTAACATTTATTTAGCAAATTTCTTTATTGTTATTCATGATTTTAGCAGAAAATTAGCTATAATTTTCAATTTATTCATTTTAGCTTGCTATATGAACTATTATTATTATTATTGTTAAACTATGTACAATATTTAGTCTGGGCACAAAAGTATTTGTAATTATAGCCAATTTCTTATATTAGTCTATTATTTATCTAGGATGTTAAGTTAAAATTCTATTTGATGATCCACATTTTAACTAACAATTTCAATTTGGTAGCCATCCTATTAACTAAGAAAATATTCATAACCTTAGCTTGCCATTGAAACTATTTTTCACAATGTTTAGCTAGCTATAGGTATTAACTGGCAGACACACCAACACGCAGAACCTTCTCATTTTTACTGATAATTTTAATCTTTTAAAGTTTCGATTCTTATTGGCCATTAGGCTTACTCTTCTATTTTACTGATTTATGCCGTTATGTTGGCTGAATAGTGGCTCCCTTGTGTAGTGGTTAATATTTTCACATAACCTAATACACGAAAGGTCTGCAATTCAAAACTAGGAAGAGAGACAAATCCTTGGAAGGGTTGCATAAGAAAGGGCATCTGGTGTAAAAATCTGTGCCAAATCAAATATGTGGATCCACCCACTGTGGCGACCCCTTGGGAGCAGCTGAAAAAAGCTATGCCTTTACTTTGACTTTTGATTAATAGTCATTTCTTCACTCAAACCCCAATTCATAAATAGTTCTTTTTTTTTTTTCATCTGTCGACAAACCCATTAGAGCACTTTGACACCTGATTGGGAATCTCTGGTTTAAAGGAATAAACTGGCAAATGGCTCGCACTCTATGAAATGCCTTTCTCTTTCCAGATATCCAGGAGTCTAGCTTTAAGGTGGATTCCAGCTGCAAGGCAAGAAAAGAGCGCACAGCATTCACCAAGGAGCAGCTGAGAGAACTGGAGGCAGAGTTCACCCACCATAACTACCTGACCAGGCTGCGTCGCTACGAGATCGCTGTAAACCTGGACCTCACAGAGAGACAGGTACAACGCTTTTCCCTAATATACAATTTCCAGCAGGACAGGATGAACCATAATCTTATCATTCCACATCAACATCATACAACATCTTGGAACATATTGGAAAGCCTTAATGTCTGTCCTTCCCCTGTACTAAATACCAATGCATAAACACAGAGGCATTTGAAGTACAATGAACATGTTTTTTCCACAGTAGTTTTCATTCTGTGGTTCTAGCAGAATGACATGCAGCTTTAATGAGTGGGTGGCAGCTCCAGACTCGATGAAATCGGGCGAACATGTGTCGATGCTGCTGGATCAAACCCCGGTCTGCTTGTCAAGCCACTGTCCCTCTCAGCTCCTTCTAATGAGGCCGTGGTGCCACAGTGACCACACATGCTGCCGTCTGCTCCTAAATCTATTTCCCAGATCCCTAAAAAACACACACACATACATGGACAGAAATATTCACACACAGCCAGGTTCCATCTTCGCTCAGGGCTCCCACTGCAACCAGACAGCGCTTTCCAATTCATCCTACATGCTTTGGCAGTTTGCCGTCCTTTCAATCAGTCCTGAGTAATGGACAGACTGAGGTTTATCTGAATCCCAGAGCTGTAGGGGAGGACACTTCTAGTGGGATGTGCAGGGGTCACCTAAGGCTTCCTTGAATTGTGCACACACAGGTTGGAGTTAATTTGAATCTATTTGAGAGAGTTTAGTTTATAATTTTAAGGGAAATAAACCTGTGCTTTTGTCTGCAAATTGACATAATCAAGTAGTTTAAAAACATAATAACTGCGTATGCATAGCCTGGTTATAACTTAAGGTTTATTTGCTTTAAAATGCATATATTTCTCTCTGCCATGGAGCATCCCACACACCATTCTTCTGTTGTAAATACTCATTACCGCACCAAATCCGCAGCTAACAATAATCTTCAAAGTGTATTGTTTCCTCCACTGTGAATAATGTTAACTAAAATGTACAGGCCCCAGCTGTTTGAGGAACCAACTGTATTAGACACCTACTGATAAAGGCTTAAGTAAGACATTTTCTAAAGCTTTAAATAAACTATCTTGGTCACAGACTTAACAAATGCTCACTCTTCATTTTTTTTTCCTGTCAGTTTTTCTCTGTAATTTCCCCAGGTCTCGGGAAGTGTGTGTTTTTCCAGCTATTTATGTCTGGATAGTTAAAATATGAGCTCATTCTCATTTTTGAACAGCACAAAGATACAGATGAGCACTGTCCACACCACAAGTACAGTAAACTCACATCCTGTGTAGGCTGACTTCCTGACAGTTGACTTTTTTGACCTGCTGTCTATACGATACTCTCTCCCTCCATTTGGAGTGATTTTGCAGCCAGGCCTCAGTGCTTTGTACTGACAAGCCGTGCTCCCTGCAAGGCCAATGCAAACCAAGTGAATTTATAATCTGTGCTGGGAGATTTGTGGAGGATTATTTGTCTATTTTTTTGCTGACCGTGTTGTAAATTTTGCTAAAAATTGCAAACTGGAGAGAAAAGCCACAGTGATCCTGTTACACGTTCAAATGTGGTGAAAAATTCAAAGTACTGTGAGAAGGGTATCTGGTTTAGATTTGTATTGTCCTAAGACCACAGCCTTTATTCGTAGTGCTAAGTGTTTATACTACTAGAGCTACTATTGTTCTTTTCAATTAATGATCTATACAAATCTAAAAACTGATCACAAAAGACAAAGAATGCTGTGAAATCAACCTTTGACATCTTAGCAATTTTGCCCCTAATCCACAATTAACTACATTAATTTACCTCAACAGTGTATCCATGCTAACGACTTTGTAGAGTCATCATTCTATATGCTAATTTAATATTTCCTGTGTTTTTTCCACTACAGGTTAAAGTTTGGTTCCAGAATCGGCGAATGAAGTGGAAGAGAGTGAAGGGAGGACAATCGGCTTCGCCCAACGAGCTGGAAAATGACGACATAGACTCAGCTGCTTCACCCAGCTCTGAATGATGTTTTTAAAAAATTGTCTTCGGACAAAAAAAAGAAGAAGAAAAAATAACGAGGCCTGCGCTCAACTGGACACCAACGCAACCTTTGATTTTATGGAAAGTTGACTCCAGGAACCAAATAATTCCAGAGACTTTTTCATTCCCAAGAAGAAAACACCAAGCATCCGTCACTGTTTTCTGTTGTAAATAGTTGATTTATGTCCATAATGAACTGTATTTTCATACAACTTTGATAAATATTCCATTTAAGAGGCCCACTCTTGATATTCCTGATCGTTGTATATTAGTGACAAAGTCCATACAGCAGCTTTAAGGCTAGTGATGACATATCAGGCCATGATGTGATTGTGTTTGAGGTCCTCCCCTTTGCTTCCAGTATTGTAATCATGGCCTTTGACGCTTGACTACAACCACCTGGGAAAACTCAGACTGCACGAGTGTTGCCAAGGCCTAAGTGCCTCCGAATCAGATTTTACTTTTTTTTTCATTTTGAGAGTTTCTTTTTCCTAGAATATAGTTTTTTGGGTTTTTTTCTTTTCAGTAAGGCATTTTTACTACGTTTTATACCATTTGAATGTTGTTGATAAAACACAGATGTTGACTGTTTCTGCAAATAAAATAAATCATCTGTTGCAAAATGGGAAACATATTGGTAATTTCTTCCACCTGCAACAGTTGAGTTATGACTGGACAGTAGGTACAGTAGATGTGTATTTTTGGCAGATGGTTTTATTATGTGTGACTATAATTCCTAAAAGCAAAATAATTACTGATAGTTCAGTTTGCTTCCATTTGCTATTTTTGTTGGCAGGGGAAAGCAGAAGTATTAAATAGTTTGCATGTGTGTGCACTTAATGGATGCAGCGAAATATTGTAGCTATATCAAACACTGTGGTGCACTTATTGGTGGTTGTTTAAACTATCAGTGTTTTGTACCATGATTTAAAATGATGACTCTTCTTCTTGTGCAAGGGCTAAAGAAATAGCACACAAAAAAAATATTTTTTGCTAAATCTAACAAACAAAACTGCACCAATCAATATTCTTAATCGGTCCGTTTATCAGTGAGTGTACAATATAATGCAACCAAATAGGAATGAACTCATACGCCTGTCCTTTGACCATGTAGTCAAAGAGCAGTTTTTAATTTTAATGTTTTTAACATGACAAACAGGAAGCATGATTAGTTATGAGCCACATGGCCACTGTGTACTAAAGTCAACACCCTGCAGCTCCTGTTTGCATGCTGCATATACGTGCCAGCTGTGTGAACACTGATTAAATATACACAGGACAGTGTTGTTCTATGGTATTGGGCTGTTTTATGTCAGATTATATACCTGAGCATTACTATGACAAAAACATTGACCTGATCATCAAATTTATCAATGCTATCTACTGCCTACTTGTGTTTTTTTGCCTACTACTGTAGCACTTTTATTTCAGACTTTTTAAATTCTTGGCTAATTTTTACTTGCAAGATAGCCCGTTCAACCACTGTTTTATAAATAACGGCTATAATAAGCGAAACTGAAACTGAAATCCACACTGGTGACGTTGAAACCGGAGACCTGAGAAACTGAATAACATTCCTCACTCCAAGCGACTAAGAGTGAAATAATCACTGATGACAGCAATTGGGTGGGACCAAGAGAAACCTTTCTCAGCTTCCAAGCAATTGCAACAACTACCAAATACAGCAAGGAATACAGCTGACTGACATATGACCTGGTAGTAAATATGTTAGAGGATTACCCAGGCAATCAGGGCCTGCAATGTCCACAAGCATCCAGCTGTCAGCTGCAAAGCGGCGTGCAATTAGCAAACCATTTCCAGTATATAAGAAGCTTAAAGTTAGGCAACTTCTGAGCTAGCTGTAACTTAGCTGCCACAGCCACTGTTGTGTATTTGTGACTGGCTAAATAGGCCAATCACAAATACACATACACATAAAAAAAAACATGCCTTGTGCTGTATTAATAGTAATGCATAATTTTTTTTTACCTTGGTAAGGAGGAAAACAAATCCTGTTATTGCTAGCTTTTCCGACTTTGCGATTAGAACTCGCTCAACTTGTGAGTGATGTCATTCCCAGCTCAAACTTCCGAGGTAAACGGAATGCAGCATAACTTGTCTTTTCACCAAAATCTAAAATCAGGATAGTTTTTGTTTTTGGAGAGTTTGTGTTGGAATTTGCATTGGAACCTGTGTTGCACTTGGAGCCGGTCATTTGTTGACATTAGCGATTGTTCCAGTTAAAAGCTAACATTGGCTAATGTTGCTAATGAGTGTTGGAAGCTGGAAGCGGAAGAGAAGTCTTGACTCAAGGTAATTAACAGCAAGCATGAACATCACATGCTTTGGATATTCATGGCAATTCACATAGAAATACGCATAGAAATAACACTGGCTGTTTCTGTTTTTTATGTTTAATCCATTCACATCGCCAATAAAAGTGTTTAATCCACAAAAATGCTGCTAACACAGCCCTAATGTTGCTTTTGGCCTTAGTAATTTGGTGCATTCACACTGATGCCATGCCTTATTTTCAGCAGCAGGCAGTCTCCTACATACAAAGTCATTTTGTGTGAACATGATGTCAGCCTGAATTATGAATTCATTTATTTTGATAATGAGGCTAAAAGCATTCATGTATATGTGCAGATATGTGTGCATTGTGACCTCATGGGCAATGGTTACATGGTCCCAGGTGCAGTGAAACGGTTACAATATAAGAGGGTCTCTCCAAGAAAACCTCATCAAGAAGGATTATGTAGTCCATGGGCAGTCCTACAACCTCCAACGTCCCACCTGATGATGGCATAATTATCTTCATTAATATCGCAAATGCAGGTCGGATATCCCTGAGGTCAGATTGGAATCAGCTCTCATCAACGCCCACACAGATCCTGTCTATATAGCACGGTAATCCTTAAGAATGTTTTCATAGTGGCAAGTGGTCTCCCGTAGACCCAACACAGATCACGATGATTGGTCTACAGTGACCTGAAAAGCACTGGCGGAGCTATAAGTAGATGTGAGTATGTTTGAGCGTCTGAATAGGAACATTCATTTTTGCACACCATCACTGTCATTCCAGTGAGCTCACAAAGGGTCATTAACCTGACAAGGTGGAGTCAAGCTCCAAAAGCTAAAGTATTTGGCCCCTACACACTATTTTCAACGGAAGCATCTGGATGGGGCCAATTTGATCTCAACCTGAGTGGAACCTAGACAAACCCACGCACGGGGCCCTGAGGACGAGAGGAAAAAAAAGAAAGAAGGAGAAAAAAAAAATGCTGGCTGACCACTTGTGTATGATGGAAAAGGGAAATAATAGGTGGGTATGGGTGAAAAGACGCCTTCTCAAGTACAGGATGTTGTTGTAGCAGGTAGCCAGTCATCCAATTTCCTGCTTCCCAAAGAAAACAAGAGCTCGAGCATAGGAGTCCTCAGACTTACAATGGTGGGCCTATGCTCAGACTCCGGCCAACCAAACAAAGCCTTCAGAGGTTACTGCCCTTTTTGCTGGTCTGCAGGGACCGGAGTTAGTGGGAGGGTGGGATGGTTGTTCCACACACATACACAGAGTTGGGGTCAAGTGTTACTGTACGTCTGACCCCTTTGGGCCCCCCGCTGCAGCTGCTGGGGGGGAATTACTCCAAGTCAATCCCGTGCCCATTTCCCCCCCATTGCTTAGCCTCTATTAGGGTCTATTATTGTATTAGTGGTAATAGCAGTCAAAATAAACCATGTCCAATTGTAATGATAGTATTAATATCAGCAGTGTAAACTAATGAAGCTGGAATGTTGTTTTTTGACCATGGTGGTTCCTTTTAAATACACTGGGGTGGCCAAATTTATGGATTAGATTTAATTTGGTGGTGTTGTGATTGTGGGATTTTTAGCCTTGCCAAAACACCCAAGCAGTCAGAATGAAATAGGTTTTCCTTTCCCCTTCGATCTGCAGGAGAACAGTTCATCTATACCTTAACAAATATGTCTAAACATATTTTCTTACACTGCTGTTTTCCTCTACGCCGTGTTCTATTTTTATTTATATAATACGACTTGTAGATGTGCAAATTGAGAGAACACATTTCTAAGAATATCACTCCAATGCTGCATCCAGCTGACAGTCGACCAAATTGAAGCCACCAAAAATAAGGATGGATGGTGTCCCAGAAATTTCTTCTCTGCTGTGATTATAAAAGCAGATTCAGTTGCAGGAAACATTCTTGAAATAACTCCTCTTCTTTGAACACAACCTTCTCTGTGGGCAAAGAGCAATAAGAAAACATTCGTCAGAGTTTGAAGCAGTCACTGACCTCACCCTCAGCACTCAACAGGCATATTCTTAACTTTCAACATACGGAAGGTATTGCCACTAAAAGCACAGATTACCAGAGATTTCAGCCAAATGCAGAATTTAAGCGAGCTCTCCAGCAGACCACGTCACCAACACAAAGCTAAAAATGTTGCATTTATGGACAAATTCAACATGCAGCTGTACTACAACATTTCCATTTTTACAGATTTCCAATTGTGAGTCATTCAGCTAAATGAAAAAAGATGGCACACACCTCAAAACCTTTAAAAATATAGGCGATGACAGCCTAGTAGTTATTTAGTAGTTATTGGATTGAAGCATAATTCAGTTCACTGTCTATAATTCAACATTATCTAAATGATGCAGAAGGGTTACATGACAGACTCTTTTTTGTGTTGTTGATTTTTTGTAAAGTGGACATTTCAGATGTTTTTCCAACTGACTTTGATCATTTTGTTGTGAAAAGCCAAGCACACTATATCACCAGAGCAATGCTAAAGCTAATTATCATCTTCATATGCATTTCAGAACTTAAATCCAAGTCCTTATTAGCTTTTTGGAGATCAGCAGAAATCGTTTTGGATATAGCAAATAAGTTGTTTTTTATTTAATTTTATTTTCTATTAGTTTTTTTTTTCTTCTCTGGGGCCTCTTGTTTATGTTTGTGCTGTTGTCATCAGTCCACAACTTCCATTTGAAATGGGATGTCAGAAATCCAGAGTTCCCAGTCAGAACTTTTAGCCGAATGCCCCCCCAAAGTAGTATTTTCCACTTTAAAATTTGGAGAACCCACATATTAATTTTACCACTGTTGTATATTCATCCATCCATCTATCCCTCCTTCGTGGGCCCAGCAGTCTAAGCACAAAAGCCTATACCTCTGTCTCTCTACCTGCCTCTTCAAACTCATCCAAGGTGATACCAAGGCTTTCCCATGCCAGATAAAAGATATAATTCCTTTAGTGTTTACTGGGTCTTCCCTGGAGCCTCATTCCACTAGGACAAGACAGAAACACCTCACCCAGAAGGTATCCAGGAGGCATCCTACTCAGATCTCCAGGGCGAGCCCAGCAACACTTCTGAGGAAACTCATCTCCAGCATTTCTATACACAATCCTATTCTTTCAGTCAGTACCTGGAGCTCATGGACCGCAGGTCCCAGGAGGTATTGAGTCAATAGCTTCATTGCATTAATTTGAGACCTGCTCAATAAGCCATACACTAGTTTTCAGCACAAAGAAATGGGCATTGTGCTGTACTCCAGTGCTACTGGTAGATGAACAGCTGTAGCTTGCTAGGAAGCAAGAAAAAACTATATTGACTATATTGCTTTTCTGAATACTATTACTACTTGTGATGTCACTCCCAGTACCTTCATCTTCCCAGGTAAAAGGAACACAGCAAAAAAATATAACAAACGTCTTGGTAGTGAATTGAAACAGAGTGGCAAACAGAATTAAAACTAACCCCTATAGTTATTGTGAATAATCATACTGTTGTCTGTGATTAAGCTGGTAGCAAAGTACGAATATCAGGCATGCTTGCTATCAAGCACTGAGGGAACACGTACACAGCTAAGCTTTTACTTGCTCTTAGAGGCTGCAGGGTCTTTGACTTTTTTATTCAAACATCCAACTCAAGACTCCAAATGAATGTAAACTGCCTTAAAAATGTTCATTTTCTTTTTGTTTGTTTGCTTGTTAGTTTAATTGTGAAGATGTGAGCAAATATTAAACTATCATCTCAACTTGATTCTTTAGGAAGCGGTGCACTCTCACCTGTGCTGCACAGAAAAATGTTTATTTTACAAACCCAGCGCTCTGATAGCCTCCGGCAGTTCTTGGAGGGAAAACACTTGATGGATCGCCGGAGGTGTGAAGGTCAGCTCTACAAGAGGTGACCGTAGAAATTAAAGCATGTCCTTCTCCTACTGGTCCCTGTGATGTGGTCCATGAGCTCCATCTGCACACTGTTATTGTGTCCAGGCGGCACCTCGCAGGTCACATCAAAGAGTCTTTCTACTAAATTTGATAGGCTGATAAGGAAGGACGCTGCTGTGCAACCACGAGGCAGTGAGAGTTTAAGATAACATCCCAATGGAATAATAATGAAGTGGTGCATCTGACTGAACATGTGTCTCTGCATGTTTAATATATAAATGAAAAAATGAAATATCAGTGGTTATATTCTGGTGCCTAATTGTCTTTGACAGACTTGTCCAACAGGACCTTGGGAATGCTCAGCAGACAGTCTTCTGTCTTTAAACTCTGAGTCTTGTTAATTCTCATCTTTTTAAATATGACAGTAAGAGTTTCAACCAGACATGTGCATGTCTTTCCCTGCATTGGGCTGCAGAAGATGACAGCACACTGGAGTTTGTCAAAAGAAACAGACCCATGAGAAACTCAGTGTAACAAGGCTGTTCTCCTTTCTTCCTGGATGTCTGCGCTGCCTTCTTCTCTGCACTCCTGCATCAAGTTACCTTGGAGTAGCTAGGAGCAGTGGATATAACATCCTCTTCTTCTTTTCAACCTTATTGTTAATCTGTTTCTCTGTTTCAGCCTCTCTGTTGTTCGTGTCTGGTTTTTTTAGCTTCTCACACATGTACAACCAAAACCACCAAACAGCAAGAACGGGAGGAGGAAGTAAGCACGTCTTCCGCACATCCTCCCAAGACAGCCGTTGTGTTGAAGGAGGCATACAAGCAGCGCGTGTTTGCTTGTCAGTCTGTACCTGAGGGTATGCGAGCAAGACCTACATGTAGACTCATGTGTACTCAGTTGGACGAAATCAGCAGTGGACACTGATTCAGCTTGCCTCCGCTCATCCTTCTCTCCCAAGCCCCTTGTCTCCGGTGATTAGCGACTCCTACAGGAGCTATAAATCTCAGATTTCCATTTCACAATCAGTCAAGACTGGCCAAAACTGAGGAGCTGCACAACGTTAAATTATCTGAGACTTCCTGCAAAGGCTCCTTTTGGATGTTGCATCTTAAGCGAAGTGGATACCAGAGCCTAAGGTCGTGGGATTCTTGTCTATGGCTCCCCTTGCTGGTACTTTTGACCTGCCTGGTTTGAAACCAAGAAATCCAGAAGCAGTTTAGCTCTGAAAATCATCACACAGAGGAATACTCAATCATAGTGTTTGCTAAGCAAAGAGAACATAGAAGGCCTTGTTCACCTGAAACCACACAGTAACAAAACCTGGAGAGTGAGGCTTTGCTGTTTAGCTCAAAGACATCTGCAAAAC